GTGAGATCAGCCAATCAGAGCCCAAGGTGAGATCTGCCAATCAGAGTCCAGCATTAGATCAACCAATCTAGAGGACACAATGCGTAATTCTCCTGAAATATGACAAACAGGAAAGTACATCAATACGACCACTAGATGGAGCCGATTATCATAGGAAACACACCAAGTGTAACGCAGCACTCAGCCAATCAGAGCACACCGCGAGATCGCTGGTGGCACTATGAGTGCTATGCAGAAAGTATAGGAAATCCCTTAGCCAATCAGAGCCCAGTGTGAGATCAGCCAATCAGAGTCCAGCGTGAGATCAGCCAATCAGAGTCCAGCGTGAGATCAGCCAATCAGAGCACAGTGTGAGATCAGCCAATCATAGCACTTCATGAGATCAGCCAATCAGAGCGCAGCGTGAGATCAGCCAATCAGAGCCCAGCGTGAGATCAGCCAATCAGAGCCCAGCGTGAGATTAGCCAATCAGAGCCCAGCGTGAGATCAGCCAATCAGAGCCCAGCGTGAGATCAGCCAATCAGAGCCCAGCGTGAGATCAGCCAATCAGAGTCCAGCATTAGATCACAGGATATAAACAGACTGGACACGTTTCAAGTTTACCTAAACCCCAGAAGTATTGCAGCTTTGCAGTCCCTAGATGTGGCGGCTGCATTAGTTTTCTTTTTTTTTCCATTTTCACCCAGTAATCCTGAAAGCAAAATACATCCTGTCCTCGGGTGGCAACTCTAACTGTACTCTATCCATGAATCAGCAGCGGTGTCACCCAGATTAGGACCCCCCCTCATCACCTCCATTACACAGCAGGGACTTTTGTAGTTCGCTGATCTCATCTGGGCTCTGATTGGCTGAGGGATTTCCTATACTTTCTGCATGGTGCTCATTGTGTAACCAGCGATCTCGCGGAGTGCTCTGATTGGCTGAGGGACTTGTGTGTATTGTGATCGCCAACCCCATCTAGAGGACACAATGTGGAATTCTCCTGAAATATAACAAACAGGAAAGTACATCAATACGGCCACTAGATGGAGCCGATAATCATAGGAAACACACCATGTGTAACGCAGACCTCAGCCAATCAGAGCACTCCACGAGATCGCTGGTGGCACTAAGAGCACTATGCAGAAAGTATAGGAAATCGCTCAGCCAATCAGAGCCCAGCGTGAGATCTGCTAATCAGTCCCCAGCATGAGATCAGCCAGTCAAAGTCCAGCATGAGATCAGCCAATCAGAGATCAGCCAATCAGAGCTCAGCGTGCCATCAGCCAATCAGAGCCCAGCATGAGATCAGTCAACCAGAGCCAAGGCAGAGAGATCAGCCAATAAGAGCGCAGGTGCGATCAGTCAGAGTGCAGCATGAGTTCAGCCAATCAGAGCCCACCATCAGCTCAGCCAATAAGAGCCCAGCGTGAGATCAGCCAATCAGAGTCCAGCATGAGATCAGCCAATCAGTGCGCAGTGTGAGATCAGCCAATCAGAGCCCAGTCTGAGATCAGCCAATCAGAGCGCAGTGTGAGATCAGACAATCAGAGCCCAGTCTGAGATCAGCCAATCAGAGTCCAGCGTGAGATCAGCCAATCAGAGTCCAGCGTGAGATCAGCCAATCAGAGTCCAGCGTGAGATCAGCCAATCAGAGCACAGCGTGAGATCAGCCAATCAGAGCCCAGTGTGAGATAAACCTATCACAGCCCAGTGTGAGATCAGCCAATCAGAGCCCACCTTGAGATCTGCCAATCAGAGCCCACCATGAGATCAGCCAATAAGAGTCCAGCGTGAGATCAGCCAATCAGAGCCCATTAGCAGATCAGCCAATCAGAGCCCAGTGTGAGATCCAATCTGGGCTCCATGCTCCAAAACATGGCTTCTCTCTCTCCTTCCTGTTCTCTCCAACTCTAAGAAAGTCTAATCACAGAGCAGCAAAGACCGTCCAATCACAGAGAGGCACAGACCGTCCAATCACAGAGAGACACAGACCATCCAATTAAAGAGCGTCCCAGACCGTCCAATCACAGAGCAGCGAAGACCATCCAATCACAGAGCAGACCATACCGTCCAATCACAGATAGACACCGACCGTCCAATCACAGATTGGCACAGACCTTTCCAATTACAGAGAGGCCAAGACTGTCCAATCGCAGAGAGACACAGACCGTCCAATCGCAGAGCGGCCCAGACCGTCAAATCGCAGTGCGGCCCAGACCGTCAAATCGCAGTGCGGCCCAGACCGTCAAATCGCAGTGCGGCCCAGACCGTCAAATCGCAGTGCGGCCCAGACCGTCAAATCGCAGTGCGGCCCAGACCGTCAAATCGCAGTGCGGCCCAGACCGTCAAATCGCAGTGCGGCCCAGACCGTCCAATCGCAGAGTAAAACATACCGTCCAATCACAGAGCGGCCCAGACCGTCCAATCGCAGAGCAGCCCAGACCGTCCAATCACAAAGAGGCACAGACTGTCCAATCACAAGGCGGCACAGACAGTCCAATCACAAGGCGGCACAGACCATCCAATCACAGGGCGGCACAGACCGTCCAATCACAGAGCGACAGAGACCGTCCAATCACAGAGCGACAGAGACCGTCCAATCACAGAGCGACAGAGACCGTCCAATCACAGAGCGACAGAGACCGTCCAATCACAGAGTGGCACAGACCGTCCAATCACAGAGCGGCCCAGACCGTCCAATCACAGAGAGACAAACACAGTCCAATCACAGGTCGGCACAGACCGTCCAATCACAGGTCGGCACAGACCGTCCAATCACAGATCGACACAGACCGTCCAATCACAGATCGGCACAGACCGTCCAATCACAGAGCTGTTCTCCGGGACTTTACAATGGACAGAGGATAGTGCTGGGCCACTGAGAGGGCCCCAACCTCGCCGACTGTTTACAATGAATGGACCTCCACCTCTCCTCCACCAGAGAGGCTCCGTATTTAGCAGTTTATATTTACTAAAATAATTACATTCCCATGTTCTGTGTACTGTGGAGACCAGATATAGTGAATGCAGGGTCCGGGGAGACACAGATATAGTGGAATGCAGGGTCCGGGGAGACCAGATAATCAAAATCACAGGGTCCCGGACCCAGATATAGTGAATGCAGAGTCCCGGGAAGACCAGATATAGTGAATGCAGGGTCCCGGAAGAGACCGTCCATATAGTGAATGCAGGGGGTCCCGGAGACCAGATCCATACAGAGCGATGCAGGGTCCGGGGATACCAATATACAGAGCATGCAGGGTCCGGGGAGACCAATATAGTGAATGCAGAGTCCTCACAGAGCCGGATATAGTGAATGCAGAGTCCTGGGAGACACAGATATAGTGAATGCAGAGTCCGGGGAGACCGATATAGCACAATGCAGGGTCCTGGGAGACCGGATATAGTGAATGCAGGGTCCGGGGAGACCGATAATAGTGAATGCAGGGTCCGGGGAGACCGGATATAGTGAATGCAGGGTGCGGGGAGACCGGATATAGTGAATGCAGGGTCCCGGGAGACCGGATATAGTCCAATCACAGGGTCCGGGAGACCGGATATAGTGAATGCAGGGTCCGGGGAGATCGGATATAGTGAATGCAGGGTCCGGGAGACCAGATATAGTGAATGCAGGGTCCGGGGAGAGCGGATATAGTGAATGCAGGGTCCAGGGAGACCAATATAGTGAATGCAGGTCCGGGGACAGAGCGGATATATAGTGAATCACAGGGTCCGGGGAGACCGGATATAGTGAATGCACAGGGTCCGGACCGAGACCGGATAATCAGTGAATGCAGGGTCCGGGAGACCAGATATAGTGAATGCAGGGTCCGGGACCAGATATAGTGAATGCAGGGTCCGGGGTTTAGTAACACTTTATTGCATACTCTGCATTAAGATAAAAGACCATCCAATCACAGAGAGACACAGACCGTCCAATCACAGAGCGGCCCAATCACCGTCCACACCGTCCAATCACAGAGAGACACAGACCTTCCAATCACAGAGCAGCACAAACCGTCCAATCACACAGCGAAACAAACCGTACAATCACAGAGCAGCTCAGACCATCCAATCACAGAGAGACACAGACCATCCAATCACAGAGAAGCGGCGCAGACCGTCCAATCACAGAGCGGCACAGACCGTCCAATCACAGAGTCGGCACAGACCGTCCAATCACAGAGCGGCACAAACCGTCCAATCACAGAGCAGACACAGACCGTCCAATCACAGAGCGGCACAGACCGTCCAATCACAGAGAGACACAGACCGTCCAATCACAAGGCGACAGAGACCGTCCAATCACAGATCGTCCAGACGTCCAATCACAGAGCGAAACAGACCGTCCAATCACAGAGAGACACAGACCGTCCAATCACAGAGCGGCACAGACCGAACACAGACGTCCAATCCAGAGCGGCCCAGACCATTAATCACAGAGAGACACAGACCGTCCAATCACAGAGCGGCACAGACCGTCCAATCACAGAGACACAGACCGTCCAATCACAGAGCGGCCAAAACCGTCCAATCACAGAGAGAAACAGACCGTCCAATCACACAGAGAGACACAGACCCGTCCAATCACAGAAGGAACAGACCGTCCAATCACAGAGCGGCACAGACCGTCCAATCACAGAGCGGCACAGACCGTCCAAATCACAGAGCGGAACAGACCATCCAATCACAGAGAGACACAGACACTGACCATCTAATCACAGAGTTGCCCAGACCTTCCAATCACAAGTCGGCACAGACCCTCCAATCACAGAGAGACACAGACAGACCGCTCCAATCAGAACTTTCAGAGCGACAGGATGAGGATAGTGCTGGGCAATCATCACTGAGCGGCACAGACCCCAATCACAGAGCGGCACAGACTGTTTACAATGAATCACAGATCCACCTCACAGACCTCTCCAATCACAGCAGTTTATATGTACCAAAAAAATAATGTCATTTCCATGTTCTGTGTACTGTGGGAGACCAGACAGACCAGATATAGAATGCACAGGTCCGGGGAGAGCAGATATAGTGAATGCCCAATCAGAGTGAAGACCAGACCGTATCAGTGAATGCACAGTCCGGGGAGACCAATATAGAGAGACACAGACCGGGTCCGGGGAGACCGGATATAGTGGATGCAGGGTCAGACCGACGATATAGTGAATGCAGGGTCCGGAGAGACCATATCCAAATGCAGGGTCCGGGGCACAGGGACCACCGTCCAATCACAGAGAATGCAGGGTCCGGGGAGACCAGATCCATAGAAGGCAGGGTCCAGGGAGACCAGATCCAAGTCAAGGCAGGGTCCGGGGAGACCAGATATAGTGAATGCCGGGTCCGGGGAGACCAGATATAATGAACGCAGGGTCCGGGTTTAGTAACACAATTTATTGCATACTCTGCATTAGGGTAAAAGACCGTCCAATCACAGAGCGGCCAGACCGTCCAATCACAGAGAGACCCAGACCGTCCAATCACAGAGCGGCACAGACCGACCAATCACAGAGAGCCCCAGACCGTCAATCAGAGCAGAGCAGGCACAGACCGTCCAATCACAGAGACACAGACCGTCCAATCACAGAGCGGCACATACCGTCCAATCACAGATCGACACAGACCGTCCAATCACAGAGCGGCACAGACCGTCCAATCACAGAGCGGCACAGACCGTCCAATCACAGAGCGGCACAGACCGTCCAATCACAGAGCAGGCACAGACCATCCAATCACAGATAGGACACCGACCGTCCAATCACAGAGCGACACAGACCACCAATCACAGAGGCACACAGACACGTCCAATCACAGAGCAGACACAGACCGTCCAATCACAGAGCGGCACAGACCGTCCAAATCACAGAGCGGACACAGACCGTCCAATCACAGAGCGGACACAGACCGTCCAATCACAGAGCGGACCAGACCGTCCAATCACAGAGCGGACCAGACCGTCCAATCACAGAGCGGCACAGACCGTCCAATCACAGAGCGGACACAGGACCAGACCAGAGAGACCAATCACAGAGCAATCACAGAGCGCAGACCGAATCACAATCACAGAGCGGACAGACCGTCCAATCACAGAGCAGACACAGACCGTCCAATCACAGAGCAGGCACAGACCATCCAATCACAGAGAGACACAGACAGACCAATCACAGAGCGGCACAGACCGTCCAATCACAGAGCGGACAGACCGTCCAATCACAGAGCGGCACAGACCGTCCAATCACAGAGCGGACCAGACCGTCCAATCACAGAGCGGCCACAGACCGTCCAATCACAGAGCGGACACAGACCGTCCAATCACAGAGCGGACACAGACCGTCCAATCACAGAGCGGACACAGACCGTCCAATCACAGAGCGGCACAGACCATCCAATCACAGAGCAGACACAGACCATCCAATCACAGAGCGGCACACACCGTCCAATCACAGAGCGGCACAGACCGTCCAATCACAGAGCGGCACAGACCCATCCAATCACAGAGCGGCCAGACATCCAATCACAGATAGACACAGACCGTCCAATCACAGAGCGGCACAGACTCTCCAATCACAGAGTCACACACAACCGTCCAATCACAGAGCGGCACAGACGGCACAGACCGTCCAATCACAGAGCGGCACAGACCGTCCAATCACAGAGCGGACCAGACCGTCCAATCACAGAGCGGCCAGACCAGACCCGTCCAATCACAGAGCGGACCAGACCGTCCAATCACAGAGCGGACCAGACCGTCCAATCACAGAGCGGCAGACCGTCCAATCACAGAGATAGACACAGACCGTCCAATCACAGAGCGGCACAGACCGTCCAATCACAGAGAGACACAGACCGTCCAATCACAGAGCGGCACAGACCGTCCAATCACAGAGCGGCGACACAGACCGTCCAATCACAGAGCGGCACAGACCGTCCAATCACAGAGCGGCACAGACCGTCCAATCACAGAGCGGCACAGACCGTCCAATCACAGAGCGGCACAGACCGTCCAATCACAGAGCGACACAGACCGTCCAATCACAGAGCGGCACAGACCGTCCAATCACAGAGCGGCACAGACCGTCCAGACCGTCCAATCACAGAGCGGCACAGACCGTCCAATCACAGAGCGGACCAGACCGTCCAACCACAGAGCGGCACCAGACCGTCCAATCACAGAGCGGCACAGACCGTCCAATCACAGAGCGGCACAGACCGTCCAATCACAGAGCGGCACAGACCGTCCAATCACAGAGCGGCACAGAGACGTCAAATCACAGAGCGGCACAGACCGTCCAATCACAGAGCGGCAGAGACCGTCCAATCACAGAGAGACACAGACCGTCCAATCCAATCACAGAGCGGACACAGACCGTCCAATCACAGAGCGGCACAGACCGTCCAATCACACAGAGCGGCACAGACCGTCCAACACAGAGCGGCACAGACCATCCAATCACAGAGAGCGGCCCAGACCGTCCAATCACAGAGCGGCACAGACCGTCCCAATCACAGAGAGAGGCACCAGACCGTCAATCACAGAGAGCGGCACAGACCGTCCAATCACAGAGAGCGGCACAGACCCAGACCAATCAACACAGAGCGGCACAGACCAGTCCAATCACAGATCGACACAGACCGTCCAATCACAGAGCGACACAGACCGTCCAATTACAGAGCAGCACAAGACCGTCCAATCACAGAGACGGCACAGACCGTCCAATCACAGAGTCGGCACAGACCGTCCAATCACAGAGCGGCACAGATAATCCAATCACAGAGAGCGGCAGAGAGACCGTCCAATCACAGAGCAGCCCAGACCCATCCAATCACAGAGCGACAGACCGTCCAATCACAGAGCTGTTCTCAGGGATCCAATGGACAGAGGATAGTGTTGGGCCACTGAGAGGGCCCCAATCACAGAGACTGTTTACAATGACCGGATCCAATCACAGAGAGGCCACCTCCACCTCCACCTCCAATCACAGAGTCCGGGGAGACCAATATAGTGAATGCAGGGTCCAATCACAGAGAGAGACACAGTGAATATCCAATCAGGGCTCACAGGGAGACCAATCCATAGTGAATGAACACAGACCGTCCAATGCAGGGTCAGGGAGACACAGATATAGTGAATCACAGAGAGCACAGACCGCCAATGCAGACCTATAGTGAATGCAGGGTCCGGGGAGACCGGATATAGTGATATAGTGAATGCAGGGTCCGGGGAGACCGGATATCAGTGAATGCAGGGTCCAATCACAGAGACCAGACCGTATAGTGAATGCCAGGGTCCGGGGTTTAGTACACTTTATTGCATACCTGCATTAAGATAAAAGACCATCCAATCACAGAGAGACACAGACCGTCCAATCACAGAGCGGCACAGACCAGACAATCACAGAGCGGCACAGACCGTCCAATCACAGAGAGGCACAGACCGTCCCAATCACAGAGCAGCACAGACCGTCCAATCACAGAGCGACACAGACCGTCCAATCACAGAGCAGGCACAGACCGTCCAATCACAGAGAGACACAGACCGTCTCCAATCACAGAGAGACACAGACCGTCCAATCACAGAGCGGCACAGACCGTCCAATCACAGAGAGACACAGACCGTCCAATCACAGAGCGGCACAGACCGTCCAATCACAGAGCGGCACAGACCCTCCAATCACAGAGCGGCACAGACTGACCAATCACAGAGAGACACACACAGACCGTCCAATCACAGAGCGGCACAGACCCTCCAAATCACAGAGCGGCACAGACCCTCCAATCACAGAGCGGCACAGACCCTCAAATCACAGAGCAGCACAAACTGTCCAATCACAGAGAGACACAGACCGTCCAATCACAGAGGCGACACAGACCGTCCAATCACAGATCGTCCCAGACCACGTCCAATCACAGAGAGAAACACAGACCGTCCAATCACAGAGAGACACAGACCGTCCAATCACAGAGCGGCACAGACCGTCCAATCACAGAGCGGCACAGACCGTCCAATCACAGAGAGCGGCACAGACAGTCCAATCACAGAGCGGCACAGACAGTCCAATCACAGAGCAGACCACAGACCGTCCAATCACAGATAGACACAGACTGACCATCAATCACAAAGTTGCCCAGACCGTTCAATCACAGAGTCGGCACAGACCCTCCAATCACAGAGAGACACAGACACCGTCCAATCACAGAGCTGTTCTCCAGACCACTTTCAATGGACTGAGGATAGTGCTGGGCCACTGAGGGGACCCCAACCCTCAGAGCGACCAGACCGTTTACAATCAGAGATCCACCTCATCCACCTCACAATCCACCTCTCGGTATTTAGCAGTTTATATGTACTAAAATAATGTCATTTCCATGTTCTGTGTACTGTGGGAGACCAGATATAGTGAATGCAGGTCCGGGGACAGGATCCGGGGAGACCAGATATAGTGAATGCGGGGTCCCTGACCGTCCAATCACAGAGCAGATATAGTGAATGCACAGGGGTCCAGACCGTCCAGATATAGTGAATGCAGGGTCAGACCGGGGAGACAGATATAGTGAATGCACAGACCTGGGGAGACCAGATATAGTGAATCCAATCACAGGGTCCGGGGAGACCGATATAATCACAAGCAATGCCCCAATCCGGGGAGAACAGACGGTCCAATGAATGCGGGGTCCGGACAGACCGTCCATATAGTGAATGCGGGGTCCAGAGCGGATATAGTGAATGCAGGGTCCGGGGAGAGTCGGATATAGTGAATTGCAATCACCGGGGAGAGCGGATATAGTGAATGCACAGGATCGTCCAGAGCGGATATAGTCCAATCACGAGCGGTCCAGGGAGAGCGGATATAGTCAATGAGAGCGGGTCCAGGGACCAGTCCAATCACAGAGCGGGGCACAGACCGATATAGTGAATGCAGAGCCACAGACCGGATATCCAATCACAGGGGCCCAGACCGTCCATATCACAGATGCGGGGCCCAGAGACCGTATATGAATGCAGGGCCCAGACCGGATCCATATCAAGCGGGGCCCAGACCGATATATCACATGCGGGGCCCAGACCGTCCAATCACATAGTGAATGCAGACCGTCCAATCAGAGAGATAGAGTGAATGCAGGGGTCCGGGGACCGTCCAGATATAGTGAATGCGGGGTCCGGGGAGAGCAGATATAGTGAATGCAGAGATATAGTGACGGGGTCCGTTTAGTAACAGATTGCATACTCTGCATCACAGGGGACAAAGACCGTCCAATCACAGAGCGGCCCACACCGTCCAATCACAGAGAGAGACAGACCGTCCAATCACAGAGAGACACAGACCGTCCAATCACAGAGAGACACAGACCGACCAATCCACAGAGAGGCCAGACCGTCCAATCACAGAGAGAGGCACAGACCGTCCAATCACAGAGCAGGCCATACCATCCAATCACAGATAGACACAGACCGTCCAATCACAGAGCGGACCAGACCGTCCAATCACAGAGCGGACACAGACCGTCCAATCACAGAGCGGACCAGACCGTCCAATCACAGAGCGGACCAGACCGTCCAATCACAGAGAGCGGACCAGACCGTCCAATCACACAGAGCGGCACAGACCGTCCAACCACAGAGCGGCACAGACCGTCCAACACAGAGCGGCACAGACCGTCCAATCACAGAGCGGCACAGACCGTCCAATCACAGAGAGCGGCACAGACCGTCCCAATCACAGAGCGGCACAGACCGTCCAATCACAGAGCGACACAGACCACAGACCAACCACATCAGAGAGGCACAGACCGTCCAATCACAGAGCGGCAGAACACAGAGCGGCAACACCGTCCAATCACAGAGCGGCACAGACCGTCCAATCACAGAGCGGCACAGACCGTCCAATCACAGAGCGGCACATACCGTCCAATCACAGAGCGGCACATACCGTCCAATCACAGAGCGGCACAGACCGTCCAATCACAGAGCGGCACAGACCGTCCAATTACAGAGAGGCCCAGACAGTCAATCACAGAGCGGCACAGACCGTCCAATCACAAGA